TTATATTTTTATGATTTTAGAATAGATTAAGATATTATTTAAATAAAAATTAATAAAATTATCTAAAAAATATTTTTAAATATAATTTATTAGATATTAAAAATTAATTAAAACACTTGTAAATTCAAAAGATATGATATAATATTCAAAATATTCATACATGGTTCAAAATGTACTAATTCATTCATCTCTTTCTTTAATGCATATTGAGTTGTATGATCTTTATAGATCTATTTTTGTATAGATCTTAACTTAATTCAATTGATTAAGAAGTCTCAATATTAATGCTGATTTAAAATATTTTTTGAATTCTTTTTACCATAAAAAATGGATGTGGCATAAATAACAAAAAGTGACTTTTTTTTGTAGTATATTCAAAAGTTATTATATCTACCAATAAAGATTTGGTTGTATTAGACTTATGAATTTATACTTGGATAACATAAGCTTTAATTATGCTATAGAAAAAATCAAGGTTACAAAAAATCTAGTCTATTTAAAAATTATACTTCTTTAGCCATAATAAATCTAAAAATAAATAAATAAAAAGAAGATCTAATAATATTAAATATTTTAAAGCTATTTTGACCATTAATTGCTATATACAAATGAATTTTTTTTTGAATTAAATCTCTAAAATACAACAAATAATTATTTATAATTTCTATATGTATAGACTTAGTTTTTTTATAATAAATATTTCTTTTTAGAATTAAAAAAATTATTAATTAAACAATTCAAGACTCCTAAATCTAACAAAGAAAAGGCGTTGTAATTTTAAGACCAAAAAAAACATATATTATAAAACAATATGAGGGATCTAAAGAGAGAATAGGACCAATACTAGATATTGTACAAAATTCCAATTGTATAATTTCTATTATACCTGAAAAAAATTATTTTCTAATACATCATCTTTGCTAGCAATTATATTCTTTATTTTTTATTTTCTTTTTTATTTAGATATTATTAATTAATGTCCTTAGGTTCTCCATAATATAAGTACAATCCTTCTTAACAATATTAAATCTTTTGTCATTCAATAAAAAACTTAAATGTATTATATTGATTTGTATAGGTTTAGGTATTGATAAATAAGTTTCTAAAGATTTAGAAGTTATTGTCATAACTTCATTTGTTCTTTCCCAACCAAATCTTTATTTTTTAAATCTTTCAAAAATTTGATTCTCACACATAGTTATTTGAGCAATAAATTTCTCCAAATGACGTGCTCTTGATATTCTTAATAATAAATCTTTGATATTACTTTTTAATCCATATTAAAATTAATTAATAAATTTTTTATCATTCCAATCCACATTGTAAGCAAGATTTTGAAATTCAATAGCATATATGTAGGTAAATGTGATCTTTATTGTAAAGATATAAGTTTAATCTTTGATATATATTTTATTTCCAAATATAATTATTAATACTTCCAAAAATAAATTTAAGTCATATAAGAGTCATGAATCTTTTTTCTATCAAAGATACAAATCAAGAGAAAATACTTACAAATATGAGTGTGCATATAAATCTAACTTGAGTAAATCTATCAAAATATTTAGAAGAATGTAATCTTAGATAGAGCTTGATTTATTATAAAAATATTTAAAATTTTTATCTTCTTCCATTAAACTTCTTTGGCATATGAATCCTTATCTTTGTCATATGAAAAATAACAAAACTTCTCAAATTTAATTATAAAGTTGATTTATTTGTTTCTCTAAACAACATATTTTTTTGGCATGTATATTTGATTCTATTATTGACTTCATTGATACACATAGAAATAGTATATTTAGGATTGATATTAGTCATACATAATATTTACATCTAAAAAATATTTATATGTTTATAAAGATTTCTCATAGTAGAAAATATATTCTTACTATTGTCAAGTGTAGCATCTATAAATTTTCTTTCTATCTCTATAATAAACAATCTTAAAAAATCCATAAGTCAATTTAGAATAGAGTGATTTACAATCTTTAATATCAAATAAAATTTCTACAATGATGGATAATCTATTGATTTTTTAAAAAAAAAATCAATGTTAAAAAATCAATATTATTTTAAAGATAAGTAGTTTGCAATCTTAAAATACAACAAATAAAATATAGTAATGTATTCAATCCTAAAAAAATAAGAATAGAAAATTAGCACTCTTGTCATATTGTCATGGATATGAATTATAAAAACTACATAATTAATACACTCTTGTGTTAATACAAAAGAATAGATTGTCACTCAAAGATAATATAATATTAGAACTAGAATGGTTATTATCAAAGACAAGAAGCATAGAAACTCTTATAACAAGATTAAGAAAAAAAAAAGATATTGACAAGAATGAAGAAGACTTTATTCTTACTTCTATGTATATTATTTAATTAGAAGATATATTATAATGTTTTGTACAACTTCTACCACATGTCTAACTTACAAAACATGTTTCAATTCGGCACTATATAGCAAAATTCTACCATAAGTAGCCAACATGTGCAACATGTGGCCAACTTATTGGCCAAGTTTTTAACCTATCAATCACGTATAGACATGTATAAAGTCAAATTTGTGTCTATAAAGCTTCTAAGAAGCTTTTTCATAAGATATTATCAAATTTACTTACTTCTATTTATTTCTACTTAATTCCTCTGAATTTAAATAAATATATATGTCCATAAAAAAATTACACTAAATCCGAAAATATAACAAATATTGTGATGGCCTAATTTAATTAGTTGTTATTTATTCTAAATTAGATTGCACTTTGTTAGAATTTATTTTATATTTTTATGGCATCAAATTCTATAATTATAAATTGAAAGTCCTATAGTAATAATTGAGCATGTAAATGAATATTTTAAAATTGTATGTAGTTATTTTTATTTTTTTATCTATAATTTTATTTTTAATACATATTTTATTTAATGTTCACCTCTTAATTTACATTGCTTGCATTATATTTGAATATCTCAAATACTTATGTAAGTAAAAATTTTATATAACTAATAATGCTAATAAAATATTTTTTTCAATCTACAAATACTTTTATATTAAAAAATGATAAGTTCTTACAAATTAAATTATTAAAATTCTTCTCTTAATATAAGTTTAAACTTTATAACAAATATAATGTAAATAAATAAGTATATTTTATTGGACAAAGATAGAAAAACAAATTTATGTTAAAATTTTTCAAAAATCATTCATAAAGCACATTTTTCAATACAAGTCTTTCTTCACGTTATAATTTAAAATTTAATGTGCCATAAGAATTGAGCCAAAAAAATAGATTCCTACAAATATATGAAGTCTTATTTAATCTAAGCTTTAAATAACTATCTAAGAAAATCATAGTTAGGATTATGATTCTAAAACTACATTTATCCATGCAATAGCATATTGGCTATAGTTTAAAAGATGAGACATGATCTTTAGACACTATCTCATATAAGAAATCTATATATGTGTATAAAATTTTAAATAAAAATAATTAAAAATTCAAATATTATTATTATATAAAATATTTAAAAAATAAAATAAATATTTGTTTTAAAATAGTATGTTAAATTAATTTTTATTTTTTTTCTAAAATATTTATTAAATGAAAATTTAATTTTTGAAAAAAGAATCACTTTAAGATTATTGAGTTTATTATAGAAATTTTTATATTAAATTAAAATAAGATTTTGATAATAATAATTATATATTTTAATTGTTTTTATGAATATTATATAATTTAATGATATATATAAAATTTGATAAAATAAATGAAAAATGAAAAATGAAAAAAATAAATTTAGAACACATTTTTGAAGCCATACATATGATTCAATAATTAAATTTAATAATGAATTCAAGATTTGTAAAAATATTCAAAGAAATCTACAAGTTTTATAATAATGTATTTTAGTTCATTTTTATGAAGATCAAAACTTTAAATGAATTTATTTTTTATTTATTTATTTATTTATAAATAATTTATAAATAAAGAAAGAAAAAAGAATACGTTGTGTTTTAAGAATAAAATTTGAAATATATATATTTTTCTAATATTGCCAAATAATTATTTTAAATAGAGTATGTTCATAATTTTCTACTAGAAGATGTATGCCAGGAATGACAAATACAACTTGATTAATTTGGATGATTAAGAATGCATGAATAAAAATCATGTACTACCTTAATTCTAGGGTGCTAAAGATCACTTTATTTGGATTTATTAGCTCAAAGTTATGGGACCCATACACAGTATTAATAAAAACATGAAGACAAAAATAATAGAATCAAATTCATATTGATAAAGACAAATTAGTAAAGACAAAAATCATAGAATCGAATTCATTTTAGCCAAATGTTTTATCGACAAAAGCTGTCTTTTTTACTTTTTGGTAGAAAGAAGAAAATAAATCACATAATCATTTACAGAAATTATAGATAATCATCATCGTCTTACCTATTTTATATGTAGCTACAGCAAGTGAGACATTGGTCACACAAAATAATAATAATAATAAATAATGAATAAAATTAATTTTAAAAAATATATAAATATCTTAATCATTTTAGTATAAATTTTGTAGAGAAGCTTAATTTCTTTGTGACTAATTATTGATTCTTATTTACAAGGAAAATCCATGAAATTACGTAAATATATTTCGTCCAAAACAATACGATAATTAGATTGAAAATTGCAATTGAAATGTAAATTGAAGTAAAAGAATCTTTAGAGCTTGATTTGAAATATACATTACTCTTTTTGACACAAGTCAACGAGGAATATTAGAAAAAGAACAAACAAAGTGTCAGAATGAAGAAAGTGAAACAAAATACACGTTCTCTTACAAGCTAAAAAGTATGTTTCACGGCAGTCCTAGTACTTTTAAAGTTCTTGTAACTTTTAAAGCTCGTTTCTGTGAGCTTCTGATTCGAAGGAACGCGGCCTGCAAGTGGGATTCGGCATGCGACGCCGCTCCTTTGCCGCATTTCGAAGTGCGAGCTGATGACCATCGGCGTGTGTATCGTGTGTAATTTGGGTGGTCGTCGGGGCCACCAAACGACCACGGATTTGTGGAATTGCAGCGGAGGATCGGTGAAGAAAGAAGCGATGGGACAGGATTTTGTAGACGCTGGCAATGATGGGACGAAGTGAGGGGAGTTGCGGCGTGGATTAGCAGCTGCGTGAACATTGTGCCAATTCTACCAGCTCATACCTCCCCAATTGATTCCTCATATTGACCCTGCGCAATTCGGATTTGGTACAATCCTCGTCTATCTTTTCTCTGCTGACGACTTTCTGGCTATTTTTGTCTGTGTACAAGTTAGGCAAATGCTGCAGTCAACTAGGGGAGAGTTGTTGGTTGATTTGATCTGTGGTCGCAACTAGATCATTGGGTTCAGGACAGTGTCGAATCTAAATTGTTGTCAGAGATTCGGCATTTCTTTGATGTCATTTTGATGTTCGGTGCGCATTGGTGGCTGAAAGATGGCCACGTTCTTGTCGTGTAGAGGGGGCAACATCTGGCATTTGAAATTCAAGCTTCGCCGACAGATGCGAATCTTAGGCTGGCGGTGGGGCAGCAAAATCCACGTGAACAGAAACAGCTGGGAGTGGTGCAACTTGCATCATACATTAAACCCTAAAGTTTCAAAGTTCCCTGGGAAAGGGTCGCAAACAAGAGTAACGAGGCTACAAATCTTGGATGGCATCATTTTAGCCTCATAATCCAGGTTTTGCTGAGGTATTAACCTACTTGTAGCTTAGAATCCTATAAAGCAGTGGATTCTTTTTTTTAAGTACCCGCATAGCATTTTCAGGAAACAAACATAGCGGACATTGCGACCCTGAAAGATAGCTGACGGCTAAACCTGGGATCAGCTCGAGGCAATGAGGAGGCAAACCATGTTTACACACTTGCAGCAAATGGTCCGTGTTTCCATCGTCCATGAGTACCTGTATCGATAATGATAAAGATTGTGAAAAGCTTGCATAGATGCTGATAAAAAGAAGTCCTACCCATTATTGTAGGAGCTATCAAAGTTGTCCTGTACGGAGAACGGCATGAAATATCACAAGCTGCTTGCGTATTAGGAGCAGTGGCACTGTGCATGTGCCACACGTTTTTCTTGGATTATCACTGCTACAATTGATCACAGAATTGTTTTCGGAGGAAAGAAGCAGTGTTTGGGAGACGACAGTAGCGCAACTGAATCGTGGGGTTCGACGTTCTGTGCTAGTTCCTGATGAGCGATTTCAGTAATTGGTGTAGAATAGAGTGTGCTCGCGTTCGGAAGCTCGCTTAGCGGGCTGTTGTGCAGCTCGCGACGGTGATATAATTAGGTTTAGAAGTAAACAGTACCAAGGAAAGTATGTGGGAGATATGGCGGGTGCTGTTGGCAATGCAGCTGATGGCTGTCAGGTGCTGGTTTGCTGATGCGCAGCCCGTTAGCCCTCCAGCGACAATACGCATCGGAGCGCTGCTTGCCTACAATTCTACCATTGGAAAGGCTGTCAGGCCGGCTTTGGAGCTGGCCGTGAGAGACATCAACAACTCTTCGCTCTTGGGAGATTCGCAGTTGGTGCTACATCTGGGCAACTCGAATTGCAGCGCTTTCCAAGGAGCGGCAACTGGTAAGCATGTTCCCTTGCTTAGATCACTATCATACTCTTCCTGCTCTCATCTTTGCTTTTATTTCCTCTTCCAAGTTCTGCAGCTGGAAATGCGCGATTTTTGAAACAGTACGTGTGACTCGGTTGCATTTCTGTGCATGCCCCTAATTCGTCCAACTTTACGACTGTCACATGTTCCCTACTCGTTCAGACTATTCTGCTTAATTTCGGGGTTTTTTTTGCGCTCTCTGACGATACAGATCTATTTCTCATGAAAGTTGCTTCATTTTCGCCGTTGTACACTAGTCTTTCTTTTAAGAAGCTTCTTCTCTTCCAGAAGTTCATTTCATTCATTTTGAACGTGACAATTCTGATTGTTTCCTTGGCCATTCCTTAACGCCTTCGTTGACGGCTATTCACTATACAGCTACTCAATAGACTCTCAGTGTATCCTCCCTTGGTTAAAACAATCCATTTCAATTTGGTTCAAAGCTGTGACTATGTTTTTTGTGGTATCGTGGAGTGCAGCGTCGAACTTGTTAAAGGATGAAGTGGTGGCCATTTTGGGTCCTCAGACTTCAGTGGTGTCACACTTCGTGTCGCATATGGCCACTGTTACGCAAGTGCCATTGGTGTCTTTCTCTGCCACTGATCCCTCTCTGTCCGAAGAGCAGTATTTCTACTTCGTACGTGTCACTCATTCTGATGATGTGCAGATGCAGGCCATCGCAGGTATCACAATATTCTGCATCTCCCTCAAACTCATGAACATTCATGTAGAGCGATAAAAAAGTTAAAAATTAACTTAAAAAACAAAACAAAACAAAACAAAATCTCAATCACGATTGTCTGAAAGTACTGCTTAGGTCACAAAGTCTTTCGTTGATTAGTATTATATTTGGAAATGAGTCTCTCTTGAGTAATAGTTAGCGACTAATGACTGTTTTGTTTTGGAACATAGGCATCATACAGCATTATGGGTGGAGAGAGGTAACTGCATTGTACATTGACGACGACTTTGGGAACAATGGTATCAACTCGCTGTTGGATGCGTTGCAATCGATGGGACCCAACACTGTGCGCAAATCAAACCTGAGCCCTACAATTACGAGCGAAGAGATAAGCACATTGCTAACCAAATTATCAGAGATGGAGTCGCGGGTGTTCGTTGTGCACGTGGAGCCCAAACTCGGTAGGGAACTATTTATCATGGCACAGCGGCTCCAGATGATGAGTCAAGGGTACGTGTGGATTGTTACAGAGGCCATGACGAGCGTTATGAATGATTTGAGCACGGACCCCAAATTTTCGCAGGCACTCCAGGGAGTTATAGGAACTCGAAGCCATATTCCTGGCTCATCTCTACTGCAGGATTACAAAGACAGATGGGTAGAGTTACATGGGAATGACAGCTCTGTTGGACCAGCTCAGATGAACAACGTGTATGCATGGTATGCGTATGATGCGATGTGGACGGTTGCAAATGGCATTAGAATTTTTCTGGATGCAGGTGGAGCCACCACGTTTGTCGATCCCCCTGCTCGTCCGAGCGATGCCGGAGGGGAATCCGAGCTCGCAAGTCTGAAGGTGTTTCGAGATGGCAAGCTGTTGCTGGACAGTATACTTGACCAACAGTTCACGGGTCTCACGGGTCCTGTGCAGCTGGATGAACGAAATGATTTGATGGGGTCGTCCTTTGACGTTGTGAATATGGTGGGGGAGGGATTGAGGGTGGTGGGATACTGGTCCAATGCCACAGGGTGCTTGCCATTCGCTCCAGCACTGAATACCACATCAATGCTTAACGAGAATTCTTCCCAATCACAGGTAAATTCATCGAATTCTAGCAGTTCTGAAATCTATCTGAACTTGGATCATGTCACGACCTACTCAGCATTTTGAGTTCGACTTGTGGAAACTAAGGCAGCGATGAAATTGGCTTGAATGCAGTTGCAAACTGTGATTTGGCCTGGTGGTGGGGTGGACGTGCCGAAGGGCTGGGTTGTTCCTAAAATTGGACGACCTCTTGTGATTGGGGTGCCTAACAGAGTCGGCTACAAAGAATTCGTAGAGTCATCTGTGGATTCCAACAACCGGACTGCATTTCGTGGGTTTTGCATTGATGTGTTTCAACAAGCCCTATCAAATTTACCCTACGCCGTTTCTTACTACTTCACCTCATTTGGTGATGGAAATTCTACTCCCAGTTATGATGCACTCGTTGACGAGATTGCTGAGAAGGTAAAACTAATCTCTAACGCTTGTTCGAGTATCGCCATGTGCAGGCTTAGAATAATTTATTGCACGTGCTGGGGTGTTGGTTAGCAGATTTGTTAGGATGTATAACCGTGTGTATCGATCAAAGAATGAAACAAATTTGCAGTGTATTCTGCATTTTCCAGTGAGGTGACGATTGTGTAGATGGTATGAGCAGAAATTTGACGCTGTGGTAGGAGATGTCACGATCACCACGAAGCGGTCCATGTCAGTGGACTTCACCCAACCATTCACAACATCGGGATTGGTGGTCGTAGTTCCCGTCAAGCAAAGCAATGCCAACTATGCATGGGCCTTCCTACGTCCTTTCACGCCTCTCATGTGGCTGACCACCGGTGCCTTTTTCTTCTTCACGGGTCTAGTAGTGTGGTTTTTGGAGCACAAGAAGAATCGAGATTTTCGGGGCCGCCCAAAGAAGCAGGTCGTCACCACATTATGGTTTGTCCCCTTTCCCTGTCTTATCACCCCGCTTGGACATGTCTGCACTCACCATTTGCTAAGGATCTCATGCACCCAAGTCCTTCTGATTATTTTTTCTATGAAATCTCTTGCCTATTTATTTTTCTTCATTTTTTCTTCATTCTGTGTAATACCTTTGTACTAATCGTAGTCTCGTCGCAATCCATGCAGGTTCGTATTTATGACTCTCTTCTTTTCTCAAAGTAAGAACCCTACATTGATACCTGCCCATCATTTATATGATACTTTCACATTTTTGAGGGATTTACAGAAGTTGAAGCATATGAGGTTGGGTCACGAGAACGGTAACAGCTGTGGCACTTGTGGTAGGACAGAAGGTTGAGGATTAATGGGGATGGGATGGGGGTGGGGTGACAGATGAGAGAGTGAACAGCACTCTGGGTAGGGCTGTTCTCGTCATATGGTTGTTTGTGGTGCTCATCATCATCAGCTCGTATACAGCTTCCCTGACCTCCTTCCTCACTGTACAACAGCTGTTGCCTACCATTCAGGGTATTTCCAGCTTGGTCAGCAGTAACGTCCCCATAGGCTACCAGACTGGTTCCTTTGTGCGGGACTACCTGCTGCAGCTCAATGTCGCTCCAGATCGCCTTGTAGCTCTCAACACTCTGGACGAGTATACAGCCGCCTTGACTAAGGGTGCCGGCCGTGGAGGTGTTGGCGCAATTGTAGATGAACTCCCCTACGTTCAATCTTTTCTGTCGACTGAGTGCGCTTTTACCATTGCGGGGCAAGAGTTCACCAAGAGTGGCTGGGGCTTCGTATGTAATTGTCCATAATTCTCTCATTCACTTCATATATATACTTTCTCTTGATGTGCAAATGATAAAGAAACCTCGATGTTACGGAGCTGTTGTCGAAGAGCAGGATGAGATGATGATGATGATTGTCTCTGACTTGATGATGTTTTAACCTTTTCCAGGCGTTCCCCAAGGGCTCACAGTTGGCCATTGATTTCTCCACTGCAATTTTAAAATTAGCGGAAAATGGAGAATTGCAACGCATTCACGACTTGTGGGTGAATACCAATACTTGTTCAAATCGCAATGTTCAAACCGACTCCATGGAGCTGGGCGTGAATACTTTCTGGGGTCTGTTCCTCATTACTGGTCTTGCCTCTCTCTTCTGTTGCCTTGTGTACTGGACGCGCATGATAATCAGGCACCGCCGGGTATTTCGTGAACGAAAGCTGGATGGCTCCGAGGTTAGTGATATTTAACTTTTTTGATTCTTATTTTTGCGCTCATAGTAATGTTCGTTATTTTCAGTAATGGTTCTTCTTTAAAATAAACTATTTATCATTATTATTATTATTATTACCTTATCTTTGTTAAGTTATTTGACCCGGTATGTGTCGTCCCTGACAATGCAGAGGCAAATGTCGCGTTTAGAAGCAAGCAAGAGCTTTATGAAGTCCCTGGTAACTTTCATAGAGGAGGAGGAAACCCCTACCAAAAGAATACGCTCCTCCCAGCGCAGGAAGAAAAGTAAGGAATGGCTCTCCTCTCCTGAGCAAATCAGTCCTTCGTCAAGCATGCCCAACGACTCCAAACGAGTGTCTAGATCCCCCGAACGCAGTAACGACGGCTCGGTTTCCAAGAAATTGGAGATTCAATCAACAATGGTTGTCTCCGAAAATGGTACAATGCCTCCTGAACACAACGAGTCTCCTGCCACTGATGCTACAAGAGATATACGCGAGGAGCAAGACTCTCCCAACTATCACCAAACAGTAAGTCAGCCTACTTGAGTCCATAAACTTAGAGTTTCAGGCTCTGAGAATTTATGTCCATTTTCACATGGGCCAACTTGTACATCGTTCAGTTGCTAATTACTTGTTCATTAGGCGTCAAATTTGTGCGTTTTGGATCAGAAGATCCTTTTAATGTAGTTGTTTACAGATAGTGAGTTTTTTCCTCTTTAGCTGGTAAGAGGACTATTCCGTAAACAAGAGTGTAAAGGATGTTTTACAGTGGAAGTGGAGTTACACTTTTTATTACAAGCTCGTAACTCCACCTGACCTGAGTAAACTTACAAGGCTAAGTGAGACACTTCGTTATAAAAACAAGTGGTGTCCTGCATATGGACATGACGAAGTCTGTTGAAGCATGAATGGGACTCCAGGTTAAGCATTGGCCCCTTTACATCCGAATGCCACATGCAACATTGAGTAATATGCAAGAAGAACTTGTAACCTTTGATATAAATCCTGACGCGTGGAAATGTTTTAGTCACTATCTTTGCGGAAAAGCCCCGGGAAATTATGTATGATCTGGCACAGAGAGTGTGTAGCGCATGGAATTAGAACCCAACTTGCCGCAGTAGAGCGTGGCTGGACGTTATTCTATTTTGCATCACATCTGACATTCAAACTTCAAGCTGGATCTATTAAAAATAGCTGTCAATCACCTTGGAATATGCATCGACTCCACGTTACAACAACTCGAAAACGCACAGTTATACTTCGTCAAACACCCATCCCGAAAAGACACTCAATTGCGGGACTAAGCACAGGGTTCCCGTAGAATGTGCTAAATCATCGGTGAAAACCACAAACTCTAAAAACCTGGAGATGAGCTCATTTTCTTCAATCTCGTGAAAAAATAAAAATAAAAAAAACAAAACAAAACGAAAACAAAAACTATACAAAATAAAAACATTTCACTTCCACAATCCAATCATATTTACTTTCACCTCTTTGTTCTGGGAATAATAAGGCATCTCACATGCAAAGTGGATGCTTTGTCCGGAAGATGTGTAACCATATCCTAAATCACTGAACATGGTTATAAACACACGATCATCCAACATGAATTCCACTGCTAGTCGAGGACTTCGCCGAAAATGGGTGCAATCCGTTTCACCGAGAACTCATGAAACAGACTTTAGAACTGCACCGAAAATTGGATTAAGTCAGAAGTAGATACAGGTCCCCTCAGTGAAGAGACTTATTCTCGAAGGCCAATCAAAGGCGCTTCTTTACTCGCAGCTGAAGTTGGAGTTTGCTGCTGCTACTACAGACCTTTTGACGTTTGACCAGGTCCTCTCAGTCACTGATTTATTGCCAGAGTCTCTGGGTCCCATCCAGCCAATTTAAGATCTTGGCCTCCATGAGCACTTGCTTGTTGGTCAATTATCATTTATTTATTTATATATATATATATATATATATATATATATGTGTGTATGTGAATGTATGTATGTTAATATATATATATATATATATATGTGTGTGAATGTATGTATTTTAATATATATATATATGTGTGTGTGAATGTATGTATGTTAATATATATATATATATATATATATATATAGACAGATTGGTAGATAGAGACTTTAGGTTGAGAGCTAAATTAGGTTAAAACTCAAAATTCAAACTATGGTAGTTGCAAGTAATGTTTTGAAACTTTGTTGAAGTGGTATTTATCAGCTTCAGAATCTTTGTTCTCTTTGAATATTTCTTCTGTTGTACAGTTGAAATTATGTTGTTTATTTTGTGTGAAAGAATATAAGCTTGAAACTATACCGTCTCAGCATTATGCAAGTTACGGTTATGAAGGTTAATACACCTTGAGTGAAGGAAAGGGTTTTGCATGCTTTCATAGTTTACATTCATTTGTCATGTGTTGAAAATGCTTTGAGCAGTAAAGCACCTGTAAAAAGATTTTTTGTGAATTGTGCAGCACCTTATATTGGTTATATTTTTTAGTGTAATGAAGTGTAAAAATACATTTGCAATGATAAATTTAATGTACCGTGATATATATATATATATACATCTGTGATTTTACATATGCACATTGTAATACAGATGCCAAAAACTGTAGAATAAACTAAACCATCCTACTATCCCATTTTTGTAAAGCTGAAAATAAATAATCAGATATTTGAATAACTAAAAGCATGACAGCTCCCTCAATGAACGTCATTGCTTTTACAAAATATTTTTCAAATTATTGAAATATCAACATACATACCTGCATATATGCATACATATATCATCAAAAAGAAATTATGTTAACATAAATCATCAAAAAAAAGAAACGTAAGAGTTTCACAATTAGACATTAAAATAATGAAACAGTCATGAAAAACACGCTGGCACATCATTTGCAGAATCACACACACATAGCTACAAATTCTTTAGGGGCTTTTCACAAACCCAACTTTTCACAACATTCCACACAACCAAACCGTCGATACTTTCGCAAACCATCGGAGGCACTTGACTCATCAACACACCTTATTTAAAAAGGACCCATAATTCCCCCTCATCAAAAACCTAACAAGAAAAACAAAAAAACACGAAACATGACATGTAACACATTGACAAAATACATGACAAACAATAAAAAAATCATTGGAATAAACACATGCGCTGGTAGTGATCAACCACCCATGCCATGCGTTGGAAAGGGGGAAGAAGAGGAAGCAGAAGCAGCAGCAGCAGAAGAATTGCACAATCCAGAACCTCGTGGGGGCACGCTATGGAAACCCTAAAAAGCAGGGAAGAAGGAAGAGATGGAGGAACACTCACTCACTCACTCACTCACTCACATCGCTGAGGCAACACACACACACTGGCACAGAGAAGAGAAATGAATGAGCTTCTGTGTGGAGATCACAACACAATAGCTAGTGCGCACATACACACACATTCTCACACACATACACCCACAAAGACACACAGACACACATACAGACAGACATACAGACAGACACTGAGAGACAGTCTGGAGCTCCACTTCCATTACACACACCGCGTGCTTCAGTGAATGAGGATTTGCTGCGTGGGACGCACACTTGGGAATATTAGTCGGTCTAGAATCTAGCGGGATTGGGTTAATTTGGGGTTGTAAGTTAGTTGGGAGAGGGAGAGTAAAAAAGGCTGCAGGAGTGGCGAGAACGCAATGCAGGCCATGGAAAGTATCGAACATCCTAGAGGAGGAGTTTCGCCAATCATTCGTGGATGGGAGCATGAGTTGAACGAGGAATGATTCTGGGTATGAAAGCTTGGGGCTGAAATCCGTCCGCCTGCTCGCTCGGTGAAGAACCCAGGTCGTGATTGTCGCTGGGTCGACGATAGTCATCAGCACAGTGGAAGGTTTGTCTGCAGTTTGTCACACGAGCTAAAAAACTAAGAGCAGTGTGTAATTTTCTTATTTTATTTACCCTTGTTCATTTTTATTTTGTCCGCTGAATACTGTTCATCGCGAGTTGCTGCGAATTGTCAAAGGCTGAATTGATCGATTCAAGGGGAGGTGGTGGGCCGGGACGCCTGCGGGGGTTGGATAGTGTGGCTTGTGCTTGTGAGTACACTTCTGCAGCTTCGTCTCGCTTGTGCAGACTGGATTAGTATCCATGGCGTTGATTTTGTCAACCTGATGGTCGGCTATGCGGCATCACCACGACACAGCCCACAGAACAGCCAGGAGCACCAATGGGTCACAGAATTGTGGGTCGATATGGTGTCGATGATCTACCGTTGTTGCGGGGAGAAGATGAGCGTGGCCTTTATTAGGAGGCGTCTGTTTGATTTCGTCCGTGTTGACCCGGCGGGGCTGGGCATAGAATTCAAGTTCTCGCTGCCGATTCCGGGGTTTGAAAGAGTTGGTGGTTCATAGTGGACAAGAGGGACGATGGTTTGCCCGCGTGGTGGAGTGGTTGGAAGTTCCTGCGGAGTTTGTTCACCGACTGCGATTTCTCTTTAACTGCTTCGGTGGTTCGTTGGATGTATCGGTTGGCATCGTGGGGGATAACTTCCTGCCTTCTCAGAATTCTCGCCGGAGTGGCTCCCAACCATTTTTTTTCTCTTGAGGGTCTTCTTTTGCTGTGAGCCTTAGCACCCCTCTCTGCCCCTCTGCTGGTAGCGAACGCAATTGTTGAGCTCGTTGGACTTGTTGTGGTTGCATTGTTGAATTGCGCAGGCGGTTTACAAGAGGTGGGATAGGTAACCTTGGGAGACAATCCTTGATCTTGCTGATGCTTTCCTCGTAGCAATTCTGCCGAATGAAATTGACAATAGCTACTGTTTTCTGTTTTGCGTTTTGATTGTTTCAGTAAGCGATGAGAACACTTCTTACATGTGTCACTCCGACAGTCTTCGTGGTCGTGGTCGCACTCACCAAGAGAGGTCTGGCACCCACCGAGAATCCTTTTAGGTCCTTTGAGAACTTCAATTACTACATTTGCAAATTCGCAAGAACTTAACAATTGAGATGCAATTTTGGGAGCTCCATAGTGTGTTTGTTTCCGTTTGAGTGGTTCTGTTGAACTTATTCTCTTTGAAAGCTTTTTAACCCTACCTCACAGAATTCGTTGATGCGATTGTTTCATTTGATCGTTTCTATAACACGTGTTTGACTATGTCTGTTGCCTGAGGTGCAAGAGCGCATTGGATTACGAGTAATTCCCTCGTAGGCGCTGCATGTACTCAAATATTGCCTTCTATGTATGTAGGGTGAAAGAGTTTCCCAGATCGGATCATCACTGTGACCTTTAAAGCCTTGAGATTGTTTGTGACGGGGGACCGTAGGCTTGACAGACATTCATCAGGTTGCAAGGGTTCAAGGATTTGGATTTATCTCAGAAGCTCTATGTCAGGAAATCTGATAACGAAGAATCTCCGGAGGCAGGCATTCGTCCCATGTATGGCAGATTCAGTTGAAGGAAACAGAAAAATTTAGGGTGCAATAATATTTGGCCAGGTATGGATTACCAGGTGTTCCTTGTAAGATCCCAAGGACAATCGGGAAGTATTCGAGCGGGTCGGGGAGCACTGCGGTTGTTCCGAATTCAAGATCATGGAATCTCAGTCTTACCTTTGTCAACTCCTAATGCAGCACCTTTAGAGTACAGATTTGAGCACATTTCAAAGGTGTTGCCATCAGATGATGACGACACGGAGCTGAAAATAGAGATTCTGGACACAAGTAAGTCGGGGTTTGGATACGAGACCGTACGATACTGGTGTGAAGCGAGGGCGTCGCTCCTTACTGCGCTCCTAAACCGTATAGAGGATATGAATGGTATTGGTATGTGCCAACTTCCCACTATTCGATTAGTTCAGTGCATTGGGGTACCGAGTTCTCTTAATTATGTCGTGAGGGAAGTACTTTTCTTACTTCTAGCTTTGTCTAATTGTTCATGGCAATCATGCGTTGATCTACGATAGGAATTGATTATGCGGCGAAAAAACACAGCATCTGGCGGGGAGGGTTGGTGGACACGATTCTCCGCGTTCGAAGTGCTTCAATCGTGAAAATGGTCAATTTAGGTCATCGATCTGATTATAAGGTGATTGCAGTTAATTATTCTGACATCGTCGGTGGTGGTACGTTGTGAATTTCATACAGTGACGATCTCGTATCAGCAAGCGACCTTGTTATGAAATTTTTGTACATACAGATGATAAATGGTGATCCGTTACCTGTTTCATCATTTTGTCACATTTTTCTGAATAACCTTATCTTTGCTCGCTGCATTGCGTTCTAAAAATTCCTATCATACGTTTTAACGAGTCTTATGTTGATGTTGCAGGCTAAAGCATCCAAGAAAATAAATTTTCTGGACATAGTCAAGCTTGAAATTCTCAGTGACGATGAACAGATTGTGCTTGTCTCTCTGAAGACTCAAACCTTGCGGCTAGCTGTCAAGGATTCTATGGCTTTTGTTTGCGCTATTCAGAGGAACATGAAGGTATGCATGTCTTAATAATTGGATTTGAGTATTGTTTTCTCCTACCTTAGTACCAGGAATTTCTGAAATGAATATCGGTGTTTCCTATGATCTGCATTGCTAGAGCAAACGATGGGGCGTGACTGTCTCTTGTTGCAACCAGAGCATCTGAATTGTATATCCAGAACGACGCAAATGAATTTCTGAACTTTGAATGCAGGCGTATTTGAAGTGGGATATTGGAATTGAGAGGATAGAAACATCTATTATGGTCGACTTTTTCACCAAACACTACAAGAAAGTTGTGAGTGTACTTGATAACTTGTGGTAGTTTAAATCCTGTCATTTGTTTTTGTATCTCTTGAATGAACATGCTCTGCGTCTTCCGCACACTGCAACAGGGATTTCAGTGGCGCTCATACTACTTTGTTTGTGTTTTAAAGAAATGATGCTTCTCGATGTGCAATGAGCATATTAGGTAGAAAACTTGTTTCTGTGTAGCCAGCCTGATACTTCTCATGTAGAGAATTCTTAATGCAAGGACTCCTTTCAATGGGCTTGAGTGTTGACTCACAGCTGCTTTGTGAATGCAGCGAGAATATCCAGTACTGTACGAATTTCAAGCTTTGAAGCAATCTAGGTCGCACAAACACGATGGACCGCGCACCCTCTGTATTACCAAGCATCTCTTAATTGAAAGTTTTGTTAATGACATTATCAACGTCCACAGGTTGCTCATTACTCTTTGCACATTCTTCTCTAACCTGCACTTTCTTATTCAAGAATACATGAGATTCGCAAGATTGGCTATCATTAGAGTGAGCACGTGCTGCTGTCTTGGGTTGTATTGAATTCCCAGACGGTTTGACGTGCTTTATTTGGCCCTTTTTTAAAATATTATTTTGTTTGTTTTTATTACGTTGGCTAATTCTTTCTCTACGCTGAATGCAGTCTAGAGGACTTACTTGGTGTCGTAGTTAGTGAGACAAATGATAAAGAAGTCACTCTGGAATTTACATCATGGAAAGATTGTCACTTCTTACTTGACAACCGTGACGACTTTATTGCGAGCGTAGCAGACGTGATGGGCATGGGAAAGGGCTCTACGTTCAGCGTTCGCTTAGAGTCGTTTCACTCCTTCATGTTTCCAGAGCAACAGAGTTCTCATTACCAGGTCTCAATTACATCAATTTGATGGTTCTATTCAAATGCTATTTACACTAAATGGGGAAATCTTTTCAATTCTGTCTCGTTCACTGCCAAGGGAAAGCTAATTTACGAATATGGTTCAATGAACTGGTAAGGAAATGTTTGTCCCCCATTACTGATACTAGCAATTTGTTTCAGGGCGAGTGTGAAACCTTCTACTTGAATCGTTTTATGGCTGCTTATAATTCTACCCGAGAGGCATGGGCCTTGCACATGCCTTTGAAGGAGTACGCTGCTAATATTCTGGTATGAACTGTGTATGTGATTATTTTATCATTTTGTGGGGAAAATAAGCTATTGTGTGGTAGTCAGCTGCAGTTGGTTCTTAGTCACGTGTTGTAGTGTTGTGTTAAGCTCCAAAGGTGCGTTTGGGTTAGGTACATTGGTTGTGTCTGATGTGTAGTTTGACAGGTGGGGGAGTCACAATGCACTGATCTGAAAATTCTTCAAGCTGTCGGTGACACACTGAAGGAATCCATTGGTAAGAGATCTTACTTGCTTCACTCTAGGTACTTTTTAGAAGTCTTGCACCCATTATTGTGTTACGGTATGGCACGAAAAGCAGTGAAGATTTGTTGAGCTCATTTAGTGACAGTTGGAATTGTTGTATTCCAGGAAAATTGAAGCCAGATGCTGTACGAGCCACAACATGCTGTATGGTTCTTGCGAGGCTTTTGGGATCTAAACCTTGCTTTGATGCCATTAGAAGCTTACCAGAACTTACCACGGTCCTGTTCCAGGTATTTACATCGTTTTCTTGTCCACGGAATCCCTCGTTTGATACTTTCTAGCTATGCTTAGACACATCATCTTTGATGTCCGAATGTGTTTACACATTGGAAATTCAGTGTCTCGAAGCAAAATTTATTACGCCAACCTCAGCCCAAACAAACAAGGAACCTCACATAATGTATCAACTCATAGTGTTTCATCTAGAAATTCGTTTGAGTATGTTTGATCCTCTTATATAAGTTTATAAGTTCCCTTACTATTTTTTTTGCTTAAATCATGCTGATAATGTTGCCTTCATCGCAGTGTGTAAATTTTAGAAGTAACATTGTCTCATATCACGCAACTCTGGTCATACGTTGTGCTATCAAGTTTATCTCTCAACCTGGATCAATTGATAGTGGCACTGCATCAAAGGTGAAGTTCCAAATTACACAGTTCCAAAGATAGTGTGCATGACACAGCTAGCTGCTTTAATAAGGAATTAAAAGTGAAGCGTAAAGTTATCTTTTTTCTCAAAGCAGCTACTATATTCTTAATTGCTTAGAAAGATAGTAGCCAGGTTCTGCGCGTTATTACCTTGAAGCTATTGTGATAATACAATTTCTTATCGGTTACCTGGTTCATGCAGCAAGAATTTGCCAACAGGTTGTCGGTGCTAAGTGCAGAAAATCTACAGCAGTTGGTGGCTTTGCTCCATACGCATTCACTTGCCAATCATAATCCACTTCAGGTTCTCCTGTTATGATTCCTTGATCTTCTCCATTACTTAATCATAACATCAAGAACCTTCACAATAAACGTAGTAGCACTATGAGACTCTTCCGAATCTTGTCCTCGACCACTGACTTTATAAAAAAATTGACTTGTTACATCTGGTGGGTTTTTTTAATAGACGACAAGCGTTTTGGACGTCTTAATGTATGCCCTCAGCTACACGCCGACAGATAATGATGCGGGTCGTCTCTGGCTTAGAGTACGTCCTTCATCAGCTCTCATATTTTTCTTCTAATAGATCTGAAGTTTTTGTTGGATTTTATTCGGAGCTTGAGAAGGGAAAGCATGAAGTTTATAATACAAATTTCCTATATCTATAGCATATATTAGAGATCTTAAAGAGAAAAATGAAAAATGAAAAATGAAAAAAAGAAATGAAAAGAGTATATATATATATATATATCTATATATATATATATATATATATATATGACAGGTTTCAGAGCTGAAAACACGAAAAGGACCTTCCATATTCTTTTGCTGTCATGTGTAGATAAGAGTAGAGCATTATAATGACACGTTTTTATCACACTGAAGGTTAGGTCCGCATGGAAATCCTGATCTCTGTTCATACGTATTGTTCAGGCATATGAGGCGTCTATAATGTCAACCGCAGACCTTCTGTGTATATTTTTCAGGTCAACCAGCGACGTTGTGTTCACTAGGTATCTTATTTCAATCCTTTCTCACTGTGGATACATCTCAATCCTCTGGTGTGCCTTAAAACTGTCTATCACATTTTTTAGCAGCCTTTGTGACCTAAATGATACTAGCTAATTAAAGACTTTGACCATGTTGTTGGTAATTTGAACAGACTCTCAGTTCTCCTCCAAGCATTGCTCACAACAATGTCGTCGGTTGTTCGTAAACATCTCCAAGTAGGCCTCTTTTATCTCCTTCACTTAATTTCAATGCCTCATTTCCATTTGTGATTCTTTTGTAAGAAAACCATCGCGCTTTGTCCCTACTGGCAGCTGTTCCTAGTCTGGGAAGCTCCGCTGACAAGTTCTTAAGAGGTTTATAGAGTTTGCATTTCGTTGCACTTGTAAGTTGAAACCTCCTGACCATTTATCTTTACTGTTTTTGTACAGAGTGTATGCCTTTATCGGTGCGTGCTTCTATTGCACTTGAGTACCGCAGTATTCTCGAAGAAGCCACATCTCCGTTTGCTGAGCTGTAGTATAATGTTTCTTTTGATGCAAGAAAACCGTGACGCGAAGAAGCTGCTTACGTCTGTGTTACCCAAAGTGAGTGTGCAGTTTACATTTAGATTCCCATACATCTGTTTTACTCAGAAGCCTGATAAGTAAGATAAGTTAAATGCTTGAACGGTAATTTGATCAGAAATGCTGGATTCATCTTCTACTGAGTTGCTAATCGTCTACAGTGGATTTGTTGTGTAGGGTGTGATGAGTTTGTACGCCAATAAATTGACTGAGATTGATGGCAAGGTGGGCTGCATTGTCCATTACTTGATTGCTTAATTTTTGTTATTAAATCTGAACTCGAATAACACCCGATGAGTTAGCAGGCTTGCCAATTTTCTGACTTTGGAACTCAATGTGTAGAAGGAACCTGCAGACGAATTTTGTGCATGGAAGGATACCATTGAGTTGCTTCACAGTAGAAACGTTGAGACGCCGCTTCTTGTATGGAACGACATTAAGCGTTCGGAGCTGAGGAAGGTACAATAACTTCCACGATTTATGATACGCATTCCAATTCTTTTGCTCTGTGTGTTAGTTTGAATTGCATAACCATGCATGTAAATGTTTCAGGTGTTTTTGTTAGTTTAGTTATGATTTTGTTTCGTCTCCGGATGATTTTGTAACGCAGGTAACCACTTGAAGGCAAATTCAGTTCATATTTCTTCTGGATATTGCTTGTTTGTTCTGTGCCTAAGATCAATGTTATTAATAAGAAGCTATTATGTGATGTTTACAGTACCTTCGGAGTCAAATAGAGGGATATTATGCGGCCTTGGAATCGAGCAAAGATGTATGGTTTAACTCGGCAGATGTTCAGCTTGAATATTCCTCTGCCAGTGAAGGAGGAGGTCAGTTTCATCTGCACACTAGTCCAGGTTTCTATTGTTTCATTTTAGTTTCTTATTGTATTTTGTTGTATTCTGTTGTATTCTGGTACTAATTCTGCTAAACCTTTTCATTGACGTGCTTCATTGCTCATGACTGCATGATCTACATGATCCAGTCATGGGCATCAAATTTTCGTAGGCGACTAAGGTCAGAATTGGGGTGCATTGTTTTCAAAAGGACCTATTTGGATTAAAAATTTGACACTTGGGACCGGGTTTGGTGACTTGCAGGGTCTGTTGTTAGAGGCATTCATCTTGAGCTTCTTGTTGACCACCACCCTCCTGCGCATGGTCTTTACAATTCATTCTGGAAGGTATATTGTATTCGACGATATTTTTCATTAAGTGCTTGAATTCAGGTGCCTTATGAGAAATATCCTCTGGAAATGAACGCAGTCTAAATACCTTTCTTTATGTAATTTTGACATTATCTCTATGATTTGTGAAACAGCTTAGCGATCCGCAGCCTTTATTTCAGTCAGTATACCAAGCCATGCTTCTGGGCTTTACTCCATTGTTTGGCAACAACAATCTACCTGAACTTGATCTGCGCCTAGCTGTGCATGTGTTGACCTGGATCTACGAACGACATACAGAGGAGGTCACCTTGTGTATGGAGACATTGAAAGTTATCGAGGTATTCTGCAGTTCATCCTCCTTTTGAGGGTACATACAACGAGCTTTTCATATTCTCTTCACAGCTAACTCTGGGCAGCACCTGATTTGATGAAGAGGATAATCGACAAGTGTGCTTTGCTCGGGGTTTTTCCTAGTCGTTGAGGCTTCCTAACATAACTTTCATTTTGAGACATTGTCAATACTGCTCCATATCAATTAGAAAATGACTGGTGTACTCGGCTGTGAATGCGTGCTAGACGGTGGTGGGGATGCTGCGGGAAGTTATTGACAGTGAGCATGAGGTCTTTGTATTCAAATTGGTCATTTTTCTGCTGGCCACGTTGAAGAAAGGCAAACGAGAGAATGTGGTTCGTTTTACCCACGCAGGGGGACTTGCTGTTCTGGCATCCTTAATGGTGTTATCTGCAGATAAGGTGCCTTTTAAGAACTCTATTTGTCAAAGTGAAAAATATGGAGTATTTTAGTTTAAAGAGATTGTTGATCTGATGCGGTTGTCTCTTTTATTTACTTATTTATTTACTTTTCAAATACCTCTTTCACGAGCTTTTTTATTAGATTTTTAACGAGGTCGCCGATGGTTTTGATTAGCAGAGTTGTAAGAACAAGCTGGAATTTGAATGCGATGGCTGGACCAGTAAGGATACTGTAGCTCAGGGTGCATTTGAAATGGTGAATCATGTGGGATCTGACGGAGTATCAAGGTTGGTGAGGATTCCGTCGGGAAGTGCACGAGAAATGATGGGGAAATCTGTGCATGATGGCAGCTTAGAAGCCAAAGATGGAATTAGGTGGCAAGATAAAGAAGTTCCTCCCAAAATTCAATTGGGTCTAGTCCTGGATCAGTTGGAAACTGTTTTGAGGTGCTTCCTTACTTTCTTGATAATGTTCTGTAGAAACTTCACATAACTGTAATGTGAAATTCTGATGGGTGATGGGTGATGGGTGATGGATGATAACGGCATACTGTGGCCTGGTGACGCAGTGTATCTGGTGATAGTAGTAGTAAGCAACGTTATCCACCATCTGCTGCAGTGTTAAGCCTTACCAAGGACGAAACTCTTTGTCACTTAGTGCAAGTTTTACTCCGTCTCAAGTCACCCGAATTCGGCAGGTACATACGATACCTTGCATCTATGGTGGGAGCTGCCAAATTAAAAAAATGGGTTTGTTCCTTGAAGTTGGATATCGCATTCAACCTATTTTAAGGGTTGTGTTACTAATTAAACACTTGAGTAGTCACTTGATCATCATTTACAGCTCCTATTTTCTTGTAGTATACTCATTAAGCTTGGTTAGGGGCTTCAGTTTTTCTATCATTGTAATATTTATTTGTCTCAAGTCTTTGTTTTCTGAACTTACTGACAAAGACCTCATGATCAGGGTTTTGGAAATCCTCACAATTATTGTCAAGGGAAATAAGAACGCCATGGGAAAGCTGTACTCATTAGGTGCCTTTGAAATTCTGCTTTGGAAATTCCTTGCTGGAGATCTTGTCGACTGGGAAAAAGACACGATCTGCAAATTCTTGTTGCAATGCCATTTACTGCAGGTATTCTGCCCTTATGTCAACCTAAATAGTTTGTTTCGGAAAGTGCACAACACTATTCTGATTTATTTGGAAACGCTTGTAAGTTTTCTTGTTTTGCTAGTTATGACTTCGAACTTGTTGAAACCCATTTTGTGGCAGGATCAAGGAACGATGCTTAATAAATCTGTGATCGATCCGGACGATGACCAGTCACTTTGTAAGGCTAGTGCACTTCGACTATACATACCTGATGCAATTATTATAAGGGTTATGTCCGAGGTATGCTGACGACCTTCTTGTTACTTTAGCAAGTCTGTTCATTTCTTTTGAACCTTTTCAACTGAGAGTCATAAAGAAGTTTGTCTTTTGATGGCAAGTGACTACTCAAGATGCTTGTTAGCAGAAACTTATCACGCGGTCAGTTGTGCAAAGGTAATTATTGCTCTGAAAGCTGATTTTTCTTGGGTTCAGGAGATGGACTCATACAAACTACTCGCATCAATATTGGATACCGAACAAGACGCACCCGAGATTATCTGGAACATGGACATGCGGCGAAATTTGGTGGATCATCTAACTAGAGAATTGGAGCCATATGTGAAATTTCGTGCCAGCGACCCCATGGCACTTTACGTGCACACATCTCGAGCTCCTATACACTATCCTCAGTTGGCTGGTAAGTCGGGATTGACTTCATAACGCACGGATTACATGTTCATGATATTCAACGTGAATAGCTCTTGCTACTAAAGCGAATTTAGTAGTTAAAGCACACATTTAAGGCGATGAAAAATCCACAGCAGTTTTACACAGGGGATTGGATCGTATCAATACTTCAAATTTTCAAAAGAAAATTCAGTTAATGTGCAGCTACTCACGATATTTCTTTTTTGTATTGCAGACATGATCTTCTCTGCTCCTTTTTATCTACAAAACCTTCTTGATAAGGATCGCTTTTCAGATTACCTAATCACTGACCCTGAGCGGTTCTTGAGCAGCCTCATGCTGGTAAAGTCACATTCTAGATTTTGTGGTATAAGGTCTTACATGGTTGCATCAGATGAGGTTTAGCTTCTTGTTATAACGGAGCACAGAAAGATATTCTGCATGATCTTGAATTTGGCCGTGTTTGTGTCAGGTGTAGTATGAAAAACAGGATATGCAAAACATGTTCTCTTGTACAGATTGAATTTTACAAGGTCCTCATTCTTTACTGATTAGAGCATGACTCTGACTATTTATTTATTTATTTTTGTGCGACGTAGGGTCTTCGGAATTTGGCAAAAGCTGGGGATTCAGTGTGGCGCAAGGAAGTACAGCGAACTCAGCTCCTTCTACACGCCTTGGTATTGATTTGTTCCCTACTCACTCTTGCTTCTTATAATGAAACTGTTGGTATAGTGTTTTTTCAGCTTTCGACGTGGTTTTTGTTCACTTTTTCTGCGCTGGAAGATAGCTGTAACGGTTTTTTTATGTTTATCTTTTTATTACGTACCGTATCCTTTCAATGTATCTTCCAAATGTATTCGACTGCCCAGGTGGTTTCTGATGTCAAACCTCGAAAGCTTAAGAGCGTCACATGAAATTTATTGTGTCCTTAGATTAAATTCAGGAAGAGTCTCAAGGTATTTTATGCGTGCAGGCACACCTCATTGACCGGCACAAGCTCAAGCTGCCGAGTGACACAGAGTACCTCCTCGTAACGATGTCATCGCTTTCTTTACAGACTTGCTTAGTTGAGAGAGAGAGGTCTGCTCAAGTCTGCATAGATACCCTGCACTATACTGTCAGAGTTCTTCGAAGAGTTGTAGCATTGAGAACCAAGGGAGAAGACTTGCCCCAAGCAACACTGAGCTTCGCCCTGGACATCCTTTCGCTTGGGTCTTGGTGGAGCGCCAACAATAGTCTCGACTTAGCGCTTTCGGGGTCTCTGTCTGTGCTAGAGGTCATATCCTCTAACCCTGGTGGAAGGAAACATTTGTGGGATGACCTTCGGTGGCTGAAAGGCATGCAGTGGGCTCTTAACTCTGCTGTGAGCGATGCCACTGCAACCCCACCGAGACCTCCAAGCGTCATCTCCTACACTGCATTGAGTTGCTTGAAGCACTTTGCAGAGGATTCAGATTTCACTCAGATGATTATTAATGAGGGTTTTCATCTCTCACTGCTGTTGCTAATACTCCCGTCGACAAGCGCAGATTCAAATTCTCAAAGCTTTAAATCTACACTGCCAATTTCGGCTGCAGATGTGCTTGGCTCTTTGGTACGATCGGAGGGAAGTAAACGTAGCTCCCTTTCTAATCTGATGCCTAGGGCGCTTCTGTCTTGGTTGCAAAATGACGAGGACCTTGGTAGATTCATCCACATTGCAAGCTCGAACATTCAGAGCCCGACCACAGTGTGGACTGCTGAGGTACGGAATGAGCTTCGTGACAGGGCGCTGGAGCAGATAGCGAGGAACAAGGATCTGACTCACGGGGATGAGGCGCAATGGCTGCAGAGCTTTGAGTATGCTTGTCTTCGGTCAGAGTTTGTAATCGGTGGAGTTTATGTGAATCATCTTGCGTCTGGGAAGTGGGAGGCAGATGATCTCCCAGATGACATTGTGTTTCTGGATCTTATCATGGATTACCTTGAGAGAGAACGCAGTGTTGTGAGCGGGGCTGAGATTCAGAGCGAACCAACTGAGGAATATGAAGATAAGCATGTAATCTTTTCTGAAGGCGCGCAAGAGCGGGACAGTAACGCAGCTGAGCTTGAGAAATACGTCACTGTGCTGATGGCAGTAGAGGAGTGTCTAATTTACGCAGCTTCTCATAGTAGAAACGATGTGATGAATGGGATCAGATTGGAAATACTCATGGAAATTGCGGCGATGGAGCAGTGTGCACCCAAAGTCTGGACTGCAATCATGTGCATTTTCAAGGTGCTAGCGCATTTTGAAACGTACCAAAAGGTCATTTTCCAATCAAATCTACTCGGTATAGCAGGGATATACCTTTGGAATTCGGTGGCGGAAGACAAGGGTGACGAATCGAAGACGGTTCTTCTTGCCACTCTTGACATGCTACAATCCTTAAGTAATCATATTCCCCCTACCGTAGAGATGACAAACTATTTCTCCAGCAGCGGCGTGCTCTTTCCCTTGTTATGTCTCTTTTGCGATGTTGACCTTCCGAGTTTGCGAACAGGGATAATAGAACCCGAGAAGATAGGTACTGATGAGAGATTAACGGCAGCTTACACGCTTGGTCAACTCCTGTTGTGTTCGAGTGGGGTCAGCCATCGTGTAAGTTTTCCTGAAGGTTATGCAGACCGTAAAGAATCCCGTAGCGAATCCAAAAATTCTAGGGCAACAACAGATATAGACGATCTCATGAATCTTCTGGAGCCGGGCTATGAGGGGCCGAAACCGCTTGTATTCCGCACCTTGTCATTATTAATGCCACTCGAGCTTCTGTCCGACCTGGCGCATAACCCGACTCGGGCCTGTGAAAGATACACCGAGACGGTCTACCTTCCGAGGCTGGTGTGGGACGGCGAATTGCGGCGTTGCGTCAAGCAGCTGCTCACAGAGGAGGCTATCAAATTGCAAGGGTTAGTGAAGAACCAGGTGGTTGCAGGGCTTGGATCATGGGCGTTGGAGTTTGAGCAGCCAGTTTTCACTCGCTGGATACTTGCCACTATTCCACACGACAAATCCAAGCCGATGTACAGAACCGCAAGAGAAGAGGGTTATGTACCAGAAATGTATTTAGGGGGATTTTTTTTGGACCATTTTCTTAGAATACCCATGTTTGTCTTTGGCAAATTACTTGAGCAACGTTTTCTTCGTGAAGTGCAGAAGGCTATAGTTTTGGGGGTCTATGCAGAAGATCCTGATTCTCTAAGAAGACTTATACTCGCGTTGCTGTTGCTTTTCAAAGGCCGGCCGTATTTGTTGGCTGGAAGATCATACATCGACATCTTCCTTGCTGTGAGCCGTTATATATGCCCCACTGGAGCTGAAGCTCGTATGCTAGCACAACCAGCCATGATTCTGACGCACTTCATTGCCAACCACAAAGACATCGTCGATTGCATCGTTTCGGAAGACTTGATTGAAACTTTACTGGCATTTCTCAACTTGGACGTTCCCGAAGCGGACGCTGGTTTTGCTGGCACTGACCCTAGGCTGTGCAGCCTTATGATTTTTCTCAGGCTAATAAGGTTGAGTCCTGCAACCATCGAGTTTACCTCACGCGTAGGTGTTGTTCAAAGAATTGCTGAGATGGTGCTTGATATGGATGGAAACCATGACGTGTCGAAAACAGCTCTGTATTGCTTGGTGTTGATGTCCCACGACAAGCGTAAAGGCCAAGAAGTGGTCCGAATATTGGATACTTTAGTGCAACCTGACAGTAAAGGCTTCAAAGACATTCCTATAGATAGCATCTGGGACGATGTTGCCGACTTTGAGATTCTGCAGCATTTTCTCCAGCATCGGCATCCATGTGCGTGGTGGACCTCTGACAAGATGGTGGAGCTTGTGGACGATGTGGTGTCGGCTACACCGACTATTTCTACTACTGGATCTCCCAGTTCAAAAGCTGCCATCAATGGTGCGACCGAGGACCAAGAGGTTATCAAGGGCTCTATGCCTGAAAAATGGGATGGTCGGTTCTTGCAGGATCAGCCTAATTAAGAGGTAATTTGTCAGATGTAAGTTATTTATTTTCCTTTCCTTTCCTTTTCTATCTTTTACTTCCTCCTTCGCTCTCTTCCTCTCTCGTTATCTCTCTCCCTCTCTCCCTTGCATCGTTATCTAAAACCTTTTTACATGACTTTCCGTCGTCATTCACATTGGATAGAAATAGATGCCAACTTCATGTGCACTGTAATGCACGAGACTTTCCTGCAATTTTATTTCAGTTACTCCTGTAGTCTTACGAGCTTACTTGAATGAAAGTATCAGGAATCAAGGCTTGGAGAGGCGTACAGGGAGTCGAGGTGCGCTTATCGAATGAACCTTTTCATGCAATCATGCCTTGATTCAATCTCAAGGGCACGCCTATTGTTCTTGGCGTAGCTGAAGGTGATAAATGGATTTCACTGTTACTCAAGCATACAGTTTCTGTCTGTGTATAGGTTGTAGTGTACATCATTCTAGGATAGAATTGAGTCAAGAATGGAATGTAAAGATCCAGAGAGGTATGTATATGTGAGATAACCCGTATAAATTTTAGCAGATCGAAATACGTAGTTGTGTAGAATACTGAGGCAGATAAAACAGGATAAGAAAGACATCGCTGGTGCAAAATTTGCACCTAGTAGCCACGAGTCACTGAAGAATAATAGTTGCACTTGTATTGGTGAAAACATGTACACTATATCATTTATAGGTTCTTGTAACCAGGGCACAACTATCTGTTGAAGTGAGAGTAAGATCGAAGTAAAGAGGAAGTGCAATTCCTAGCATTTATGGGTCTCAAAGTTGGGATCATGTGGGATTAACACAGGAGCAATAAAAAAAAGTCTTTTCAAGGTATTACTCTTCACATTCTGTTAGAACCACTTAACTTCGAAACACCTTAAACCGTCAACTTTAGGTTTTTCAGCTATCTCCGGGGGGGGTAAATTTTGGAAAAAAATTGTGTTGGATGGAGAAATAAGGTTTTGATGTGCTCCAGAAGAAAAGAAATTGAATCGCCCCAGTGATTGAATTGATAAAAATGTTCAAAGCAATTTTTGCAATTTATCCCTAAACCAAGTCGTAGACTTGAGCAAAACCGTGTGTCGAGAAACCAAAAGTTGGAGTCATGAGGCCGCCATTTCTGCAACCACATGGGTGGAATTCCGCGCACAATGTGGGCACTGATCCACTCGCACATTTGACAGAAGCCACGGAAAGGGGAGGTAGATACTGTGTGCAGCCGTGTTCTTAAACCGTGCCTGGGTTCCTCTTGAGCCGTCATGTCAACGTCCGCTTTCTTAGGACTTGCACTTCCACGAGGCCCCGTTCTCGCAGGGATCGCTACTCCGCAAACACGCGATTGCGCGACGACAAGGGGCTTCGGTCCATGCCCTACTGGTCTTGTCGTTGAAAACCACGCATAAATTACGTGGCTTTGCTTTTACTTTTTCATCCGTCGTAGCGTTAACGTTTTCGTTTGGATGCGTTAGCTTTTCCAGCTCGTCTCCTTTAAAGGTTGTATGGGTCATGTGTTCTACAGAAAAAAGGATTTAGTGTTTTACATGGTGGTCAGTGCATGCAAACGTGGTTGAAGAAATTTTTGATTTAAGAAATTAAATAATCATGGTTTATGCATATTCAATATTCGAGATTTCATCTTAAAATAATACTTGTATTGAAGTAATGTTGTGAATATTATAATATGATATTTCTAAGGAAATATATATATATATATATATATATGATAAAAATATTGGTTTATGATCAAGATGTAATGGTTGAACTTAAAATTGACACTTATAGGAAACCAAGGCATATTTATTTACATATAAAAGTTGAAGTTTTTTTAAAGCATACATGTGTTAATATGTTGAATTGATTTGTATAAAATTTATCAAGTTACTCCATGGTTACAAAGATTCCTACATTAAAAGAATCCATGCCCTTCCTATATCTACCATTTCCTTTTAAAACAAGCCTTGTGGAATGCTACTTTGGCTCACATTGCTTGTTGGAAATGTCCTCTTTAGCATATACATGAATAATAAAACAAATTGTGTAGGTGGCATTGTAGAATGCAAATAGATTGTAAATGATGGAAGTTCAGAGAAGTTAGAATGAAAGGGGAAGAAGAATTGACTTTTGATTTGAAGAAATTAAGATCCAAATGGCATTATTGTAGTAAAAAACTATGACTGTTCATAGCTTGGTTCTCTAATATGCACTTGGTTAAAAATTGTATTCCTTGATGGCATCATTTGGCTTTTATACACATTCTCCATTTTCGTCCTTGTGCAAACTTTCTACCTCTCCCATATAGCTTTAACCCACTCTATTGCTTTTACAATTCAAGCTATATTAGCTTCTTGTGCACTTAAAGTCTTTGCATATTACAACACTTCTTTTACAATAATACGATATATTTAGATGGCAGTCTTCTTTGTACTTTGCAACACCAATTGTTGAATTTGCTTTGCTTGTTCCATTGTACATTGAGGATTAATTTCTTCTTCCTTTATTTGCTTATATTTTTAGATTTTTTTTTTTTTTTTTTTTTTTTTTTTCTTCTCTCTGACAATCTTTCTTTGCTTGCAACACCTTTCATTGGAGTTTCATTGAATCTATTGCTTCTTCATACTCATATGAAGTGAGCATGATGGATTTTGTAAAATCTACCATTGGATCATGTTATTGATGATTAAACCAAATAATATAAGACAACCTCAAGAAGTGTATTATAGACTCTTGATTCTCATTGCAACAAGACTAAACTAAGTCAGAAATCTAAGATCCTTCCAATCCATAATAATATAAGGCCTCCTCACAAAATAGGACAAAAAAAACTAAAAAAAAACTAAACAAAACTAAACAGAATAGGCCATGAAAGACAAAACTGAGCAAAAAGAAATAAAATAGAATAGATCTAAACAGAAAGATGCAGAACCAAACTTTACTTGGAAAAAGAGTTTGAAGCCATAATTGACCAAATGCCTTAAAAGGCCCAGGCTTGTCCTATTTATACTTTATCCTACCATCATAGACTTTCTAAAATGTTCTTAGGTGATAGGCCCCACATAGATAACCGTTGTAACTCCTTTTCTAGAAGATTCTATGGTGGACTCCACTTAGATAACCATCCTAAGCTTTCTTCTAGAAGGTTATATGGTAGATCCTACCTAAATAAATGCCTTAAATCCTTTCTAGAAACTTCCATGATTCTAATTATCTATATAATTATCTTATCTATACCTTGTTACAGTCATCTTAAGTTTCATCTTCTTTATTGAGCACTTCATTTCTCTCATTGTTTGCTTTTGGATTACTTGGTTTAGAATTTTATATGAAGAAATGATTGGTGTTGAATTTAATTGTCATCTAATGACTTACTTCAACTATTCTTTGTCTAGTGCAGCCACTAAGTCCATAACATTGCTTCCTTGTACTTGTTCCAAAGTGCCACCATCTTAAAAAAAAAGCGTCCATAGAAGTGTTCTTGTAGATCCTAGATAGTTTCATGTACTTCTTCACAGCCTCCCTATTCAATGAATAAATACTCATAGTAAGAAAACTACTTTGAATATTTGATGGAATTAGTACCTTTTATAATGCAAGAGAGACTTATTTTGCTAGTACGTCCTTTGTTGCAATTCTATTTAAATTGTGCAATATCCAATAATGTTTGTAATAACCAAAAAATTGCTTGAAAGGTTTAAAAATCAATATATTCCAAGGCTCTAAGAAATGGGAGGTGTAGAATGGCAAAATCACAACATCCAAGCTAATACTATAAACAAACATGGCAAGTTGGAGCATAATGTAGCTATTGTGCCTATCGAGTACCAATAAGTGGTATTTTTTAATAGAAATTTCATCTTCATGGTAGATACACTTTACAAAATAAGTAATCGATGTTGAAAACAAATTTGAAGTCATCTAAGCTTGGAATTGCATAGACATAGTTGCTTCGGATTTGCACTTCTTTATATAACTTTTTCAAAACTACCTTCTTCAAAAAATGTAAAAAATTGGTATGGCATTAGTAAAAGCATTCACTACAATAAGACATGACAACTACTTTCATTGATTAGGCACTATAGACTGCATGTGACGCATGCTAGATTTTGCAATGACTATTGTACCACTAATTTTTCTTAAACACCCCATCTTCCATACATAATGTGAATAAATTCAAAATTAATAAAATTAAACTTTTGAAAAAAAAAAAAAAACATTACTTGAAAGAAAAAAAAAACAAAATATTATCAACAAAAGAAAATAGAACTTGAAAGAAAAGAAAAGAAAAGAAAAAACATAACTTAAAAGAGAACAAAACAAAAGATTAAAATAAAAAAATAAACTTAGAAAAAAAAATAAAATTTGAAATAAAACAAAATAAAACTCAAAAAGCAAAACAAAATGAGAGGTGGTAAACTACCTGCTTGTATGCTTGCTTCATTGTAATTCCAAATGCAATGAGATAGATAATAGTGCAAGTTGTACAATGTTTCCAAGTCTTCATATAATATTACTTTATTTTCTTCTTAAATGGCATCAATTCTAGCATATTTAAAGACATTAGATGCATGTAAAGTGAGTTCCAAATAGCAAATGATAAACTACTGCATCCATCTATTATTTGGAATTCTATCAAAGAACAAGGTCCTTCAAGATTTAGTAATTTCATAAACTATGAATTTTAAAATATAGGATGAGAGGCCATACTCTACATCTTATATCTTTGTAAAATAATTCAATACTTGTGTTTCTTCTTTACTTGTTATTACATTCTTTGCATTCCAAGCTTGGTTTTTTATACGTCCATATTACCAATCATATATATTAGAGATTAAAATGTTATTTCTTTCTCCTATGACTTTGATAGAGATTCCATTGTATCATAAGTACACATATTTATTTAGATAATAAGTGCTATGTAGAACATAAATGTAAGTAGATTTAATATTATCTTATGGAAAAACTCCTTAGAAGCTTTATAGATGCATATTTGACTTTATACATGTTTATAGTTGATTTATAGGCTAGAAACTTTGCCAACAAGATAGTCATGTATTGTATGTGTAGATAGCTTGTGGTACAAGTTAATGATCTGGCGCACATATAGAAAACTTGCCTTGCAAGTTAAAACATATGTTTCACAAATTCGACATGTATTGGAGGTCTTATAGGATGTTGCTACATAGCTCTTATTTGGATAGTATATATGGAGGCAAGAATGAAGCCTTCTTCACTCTTGTCAATGCATTTTTAGTCCATAGTCTTATTTCAAGATCTTTTAGTCTTCTTGTCTTTAACAACAATCTTTCTAGTTCAATATATTATCATCTTTGAGAGATTTTTTTGTCTTTTTAAATGACATAAGAGTATATTGAGTTTTTTTTTTTTTGAGATTTATATCCTTGACACATTGTTAATGTTATTGAAAGCACATTTGAGGTCTTCATCAATCCAATTACAAATCTTCTAAGTCCTTCTTTGATCAACTTTTGATGGCATCTTTCCTTCCTCCTCTCCCTTACTATCCATTTTAAGATGCCCTTGTGCCATCATGGCCTAGTCAATATGTGAAAAGAAGAAGTGTTCTTCAACAATAGGAAATCTTGATGAAATTGGTGGTTGATAATGGGAAGGCAAGAAGTTGCAAAAAATTTGTATTCTTCTTCTATGACTAGTTATCGAATCCCTAAAGTGGCGACTTGGATGTCCAATTGGCTGCGAGATTCATTGTCTTGAAGCATGTGCATACAACTAGAAAAAGAATACAATCCATATTATTAAATATTCTCCTTCTAGCATGTTGTGGCTAATTTATACCTTGCACCTATTCAAAAATTTTG